ATATTATCAAAAAAAATTTTATTTAATTATATTAAAAATTAAAAAAAGTAGATCATAACAATATTTATGATAATTTTCCAGGCAAATTTGCCTGGAAAAGCCTACAGTTTAAAGGATATTAATGCTGAGAACTGGCTTTAAATCAACATTTGTATACCAACCCTACAGCCAGAGTCTGCTATGTAGATTTATTAATAGATCATTCCTTGCCATTACAAGTTCAAATTGACCACGACCGTCATCATGCACAAAGATATGTTCGACACTATCTTTTGGATATCTAAACCTGCATTTTTGTTGTTCTGCCTGATTAACACGAAGACACTAAGAAGGACTACATCGTATATGATGTTGAAGCTTATTTATTAAATCAATGTAGCCTTGAAGATTATTATACAACTCATTGTGATGCTTTTGGCATAAGTGGCATTCAGAAACAGGTGCATTAAGTCTAAAATTTATTGTGGTAACTAAGGTATTAAGATATTGTAATACCTTATTCATAGTATTCTCATCTTTTTTCATTTGCATCCATTTAATAGCAGATGTATTTTGTATCTTCCCAATATCATAGATATAAACACTACCACGTTGCTGCTATTTGAATCTGTATCACTAGTCTTCTAAATTCCATTGATGTCTTAACACGTTATTAAAGAAAATCTCAAAACGCTTATTAAAAAACTAGGCTGCAATATGTGGATTTTCAATCAGGCTTTTATAGCGAAATTTGGCAGCATTAACCTCTTTTGAAGCTTCAACTGGTGGTATTAGATTATGTAGCGCTGGCCAGTGTAAGTTAGCTGAGCTAAATGTAAAAAAGACCATCTCTTGTAAGCCAAGTTGCTTAATCATATCTGACAACTTGTATCATCTTGCATTCCAAAATTGCTGGGACCCACATAAATCTATACTAAACATTATTATTTGATCTGCTATATATTTATCACCTGATGCAATCTTCTCTTAAATATCTGTAATGGTAAGTTATGAGTTAGTTAATCTTTGTCTAACATATACTTTGCCTTCCTATAGAGCTCTCCATTTCATTTGTGAATTTAACACGAAATACCGCCAACGTGTGTGATGCACAAATCTTCTATCTTTGTATTGAAGCAGATGCTTAAAATATTTTGCTAGTTTAATATCTCTAGCACATTTTGAATGAAAATTTGCATTGCTAGTTGGATAGAGAGTTGGAAATACATAAGCAATATATCCAGGAGTCTGGAATTCATTAATAGGACAATTATTTATTTGTGGCTATAGTAGAGGTGAATTTTCAGCTTGCATATAGTTAAGAGTATCATTAATAGCAATATCTTCATGATGGGTTGAAGGAAGTATAGAAACAAAATTTCTTATAACTAAATCATCATTTTCATTATCATTTAGATCCTCATTACTTTGATTATTTTAAATTTGTTGAAGATATTCAAGGACAGAACCATCTTCAAGCAAGAACTGAAGAACTTTATTATTGATTGAAATATCACTATAATAGTAATTATTAACTTTTAACCAGTATAATACATGTGCAACCTTGTCACAATGAACTGTAAAATCTCTAAATAACATGAGGTTGTTTGCAGATTGGCGACGAATAATAAGTATCTTTAAAGTTGATGGGTAACGAGGAAGTTGATTGATGAACCCTTGCATGTCTTGAGGAAAATTTATGACATTTCCTCAATATCCATATTGCTTATCACGAAGTCTATATACTGATATTACAGTAAAGACTTTTGCAATCAGCATTTCTTCAATTTCTGTTAAATCTTAAAGCTCTTCAGGAATGTCACCTGGGTCCATATTGTTTTTATTAGAAAATTTGTTTAGAAAAATCTTTTCATTATAGCAGCAATGACATTTTCCTACTACAAGAACTATAGAAGGAAAATGCTTATTACAGACAGGGCAAAAAAAATGCTGAAGCTTGTTCATATTATTACGAAATTTTTTTAAAAGATCTCAATTAATTTCACTAAGTTCAGTTGCATTAAGCTCAATTTCATTACTTTCATACATGTCAAGTTCAGTTGCATCGAATTCAGTTATAGTGGATTGTTGAAAACTTTGCTGTTGATCAGAATTTTGATTCGTCCTTTGATTTGCGGCTTCTAATGTTCTTTTTTGGCTTATCCTTCCATGCTGGTGTTTTAGATGCTCTTTACGTTCCTCAGCAGTTTTAATCTTTATTTTTTTTGTTGATATTCATGATCGTGTTCAAGATGTTTTTTACATTCTTCAGAAGTTTCTTTTGATCTTTTTTGGTGCTTTTGCTCTTGTTTCTTAGCAAGATGCACATTATGTTGTTCAACTGTCTCATTTTCTTTTTTTTTACATTTTCTAGCAGCATCTTTACTAACTGATTGATTATTCATTTTATAAAATAATAAGCAAAGAATATATAATAAGTTTTTAAAGCTATATAAAATATAAGTTTTATAAGGGTGTGGCGACTTAATGTAGTTGGTAAGTTGTCGCACCCCCAAGTGGCAAGACAAGAGTTCGAATTTCACCAGCGACGAAATTCGAATTTGCAGAAATGCATTACGGTAAAACTGTATGACATATTGATTGGGTAAGCACCTGTAACCTTGGTCTCACCAACTTGTATTGGGAGGTTGTAGAACGTAATGTAATGTATGAGTTATATGAAACCCGAGTGAAGCAGCCAAATCAATCCAAGGAATCGGGGATATGAAAGCCTGCTTGGGAAGTCCCGAATAGAAAGGTAGCACAGATCTTTAATGGTATTATATAAAGAATTATCATCTGAGGAACCAGACACTAGCAGTAAACTGAACGAGAACCAAATATTTGGTAAAAGCACTATGCCAACCAGGCCGCCAGACTAGCTGAAGGAAAAAGGATTTATTTGGAATACTAGAGGATGCCTACTGGTCCCTTCTAAGCCATCTGAATTGGGAGTTTGGAGCACCGTTAGTTGGCATCGAAGTACTGTTAATAGTCCATAAAGTGTATGCTGGAGTTTAGGCGAACTTTGCAAAAGTACAGAGTAGGTAATGATAGCAGAAGTAAAAAGCCGCAAGTACTTGGCTATGGTCTAGACATAAGTTACCAAAAATCTAGATGATATATGTGTGGGACATGGACTACTCTGGTAGGTTTACCACAAAGATAAAGGACCCTTCTATATAGTAATATGTGTTTGCTTTAAAGTTCTAAGAGCTTACATGGCAGTTCCTTTTTGAGGAGAATATCCCAACAGCACTAAGTTGATCAGAAGATTTAATTGGGTAACTCAAGTAATAGTGGATTACAGGTACGACATCTAGTGTAGTTCATATGGATTACATATGCAAGATTGCTTAAATAGACAACCAAAAGTTGTATATATAGCTAGTATATATTCTTGTTAATGTAACAAAGTCAGGATAGTTCATGTGGTTGCCCTGGTATTCGATCCAAAGTTCAATAAAATGTGCTAGACCCCAAAGTAGTCACCTTAACATTAAAAAAAAAATATAGGTTTTATTATAATTATTTTATTATAATTATTTAATCATTCAATTTACTAACTTATTTAACACACAAGATAGTTTGCAATCAGAAAAGAAAACAATATCATGCACATTATTAATATGCATATGCTGTTTTGTTTGTTGTACTAAAATGAGATTGATTTGATAACTTTGGGTTTGTATAAAATTTATTTTTCTGGTAACTTCAGTTGTATAAAATTTATTTTTTTGTAATAATCATCGACATTACAATTCAATGCTTTTTTTTAAAAATTTGATTGATATTAGAATTATTGATAAATTAATTATTGTCTTTAATTCTAATTAAATAAATTAGCTGAATGACTTATCATTTTGATAAAAAATAAGACAAGCCATTTTTAAATTATTTGAGTATTTAAGTGCCTCAAAATAAAAAATCATAATTATTAAATCTTGTATTTGACAGTTTACAGAGTATCGATATAGCTTATTGATTCTTGAAAATATAACGTAATATTTTTATCTGTATGAAATTCTGATAATATAAAAAATATGAGCGATATTTAATTATATATTATCACAGATAGGTTGTAGAGTTGAGTTGGTCCAGTCTTATTGACCGGCTACACTATTTTTAGTTTTCTGTCTTTAAATAAGTTTAGACCAGTTAATGACAAACTTTAAAATAAGCCTATAAATATATATTTTTTTAAAAAAAAACTATTTTTATTTTGATAATGATAGCTGAAAATAGCTTATTTTTGAGACCAAGTGACTAAACCAATAGGACTGATAGATACTATTAGGACTATTCTTATTAGAAACCGAGATTGCCAATTCAACTCTAATAAGTTAGTATTAGTAATTAGATTTGTTAATTCATGAATTGAACAAAGTTTCAGTTCGCGAATTAAATATAATATTTTTTCGATAAATTAATTTCATAATTCGAATAACTCAAATAATTCAAACATGTGATTCAAGTTTAATATGCAAATCATAAGTCTAAGAATAGATCCTGAGTTTCTATTAGCCGTATATGAAAAGTCTTATTTATCTCGAAATTTCATCTAAGAAATTCACCTTTTATAGTTTAATAAAAAAATTCAAGTTTCAATATATCATCTACTAATTCTGGTTTAACTTTTTAAAGTGACATCTAATTTGATACGATAATTCTAGCCAATAAAAATTTTGAAGAAAAATTAGTAAATTTATTTATTATATATAACTATTTAGTATAGTTTTAAAATTAATTATATTCTAGTTTTTGCTTTGTAGTATTTATTAACCTATTTAATGTTTTATATTACAAAATAATAATTTGAAAAAATACTTATTTATGTCTGCTTACTATATTAGAGAGATATTATTATTAGAAGTATAAACTTAAGAGTATTAATATTAAATACTATATACTGTATTATAACATAAAATTTAAATTAGATATAAATATTAACTGTGCTAATTATTTTATTTTTCTTATTTATTTTTCTATTATTTTTTATTTTTAATAAAAAACCTAATTATTAGATTTCATATCTATATATATATATTGTGAAGTGTCTGTCACATAGTATGTGTTCCTTATGGTACAGTATAACCGAGATGCATGAATAGCCTAAAGTACTATTTATACAGAAAATGAAGTTTGTACGACTTAATTTATGCGTTCTTTATGGTACAAGCTACTAAAAAAGGTAAGTAAACAAATGCGTCTCCCCTTTTTTTTTTGTAATTAAAATTTTTTTCCACACTAATTTATTTTTATTCTTTTCTATCTTAATTCCATACCGCCTGAAAAAAACGTTGCTACCCCTCAAATCAATGCACGAAAAAAATTATGTGGCAGGTTTATCATTGTAACGCAGTCAATTAGAAGATTCGATGTTAAAATCGCTCAAGGAAAACTTTTTATTAGAGTACTAATGTTGATTTTTTATGCTGATTTTGAGAAATAGGCGATTTTGACAACACTAACGATTGTTTTAAACCTTCTGATTTTTACTATAATCGACAGAACCTGCATATAAAACCTAAACGAATCACAAAACCTCAAAAAACACCAACGAACAAAACAAGAAAAGACACTACTAATTAATGAAAAAAAAGCACACCAACAATAGATGAAGAAAAGACTGTACAATACAAAAGTAAAAAAAAAAGAATAGACGAAAAAAAAAAAAATTAAAAAAAATAAGTAGCGAAACTAACCAAAACCGAAGAAAATAAGCAATAGATAAACTGTAACTATAGTTGATATGAGTAGAAATGGAATCGAAGTAAAAATAAGGCCATGCAAACTTAATTAATTAGTTTTCATAACCCGGCCGGGTCAAAATTTGAAAATTTGTAAAAAAAAATTTTTGTATGTTTTAATAACCGGGTGGGTATTTTAAAAAATTTTTAAAAAAATTTTATAAATTTTTATATATGAAATTTAAAAAAAAAAGCCGGCCGGCCAGGTCTGTTTAAAAGTTTCATGTTATGAAAACCAATATATTAAATTTGTGTGGCCTAATTATTTTGAGCCTAAAAAATTATAATCAGCATTTTGATAATTTCAGTAATATATACTTATTGTATTACTGAAATTATCAAAACTCCGATCATAATTTTTTTTGCCTCAAATTTTTATTTCCAGGTTTTCAATCAATTCCTATAATGATTGGCTTTATAAAGGTAATTTTCGATTGTAATTCAAGTTGAACTTTAATTATTAAGCTACTTACAGGCATATTATTATAAATTTAGATATGGCTGACAAATTTTATAGTTAATTTGAATCCTTGACTAGAAAACAATCAGATAAGTAACAATGGGTTGGTTTACAGTTTATTTATGATTTCATTGGTAAGTGCTTTAGTTTAGAATATATTAGTTTATTTTGGAATTATCATGATTTATATAATGTTTGCAGTAAAAATTTTTAAGTCAATCAAAAAAATTTTTTAAAATCAATAAAATTCTCAAAATCTTCAAACGCCCTTACATTTACCTCATTATTCATTGTAATTTGACAGTAAAACTTTTTTTGCTATATCTACAAATTAACTTGGGAAGAATTCGTAGTGCTATTACAGCTGTTTTCATAAGTTCTGGAAAATCTGACAAAAATTAACCAATCGAATATCTGCCTATTCAATAAGTTTTGATAAACTTTGGATTCGTATTTGATTATATCTGAATCAAAAGATTATCACTGCAGAATTCAAACTTATCGAATCGGCAGATTTTCAGTTGGTCAATTTTTGTCAGATTTTCCAGAATTTATAAAAACAGTTGTAAAGCATTTTATATATACTTGCAGACCAGCCTGGGAATAATTTGTAGCCGCTGGTAAGTAATTAAAATGAAAATTAGTTTGCTTTAATCTTATCATGATTTGCATAATAATTTATAATAAAAAATTTTTATTGTACTTACAGATAAACCTAGAAAATTTCGTAGCCACCGGTAATGTTATTTTTTTTATTAGATTTATCATAATAAATTTACTAGAACAATTTGATTACAATACTTACAGACCACACTGTGAATACTTTGAAGTCGCTGGTAAGTTATTTCAATAGGATAGGCCAGACCAATTTAATTCAGTAGTTTACATTACCCCCTCTATATATGTGGAAACTTTCGAAAAACTTTTATTATATCGCGGATCATTTCAGAAAAAAATTTATAATAAACTCCCTCCAGCCTGTCCCCTTCCTCTTTTGTGAGAAGGATGTAACGTAAACCACCGAATTAAATTGGTCTCGCCATATGTAGTATTGTATTTTGTATTGTATTTATCGTGTTATGATGAAAATTTTGATTACTATACTTAGAGCCGCTGGTAGTTATTTAATAGCATTATCCGGTGACAATTTTCAACAATCGAAACTACTTATATCTGCAAATTTCTGATAAACATA